CTCAATGCACATAAAAGGCCCTAAAATCTGGAATTCATTACCTGTAAATATAAAAGAAACACTACCTGTTTATAAATTCAAGTCTCTTCTCAAAGATCACTTACTCACCCAAAACCAAATAAATACTGAATAACTGAACCTTATAAATTGTATATCTTAAATGTTTCTCACAATTATATCACATAAATGTTAAACCTAAAACCCAATCTAACTTTATTATTTTTTAAATACACTACCTAACAGAATACTCCATTCTACTGAATGTACAACAATGCATACAACCATATGACCTGTCTTTGTAATACTCACTTGTGCTTTATAGTAATCTGTTTACATTAAAGTTTTATCACTGATTTCATTTATTTATTTATTATAAATTTGAGCACACATACAGAGGTACAAAAAAATACAGATAAGAGCAGCATGCCAAAGCCACTTATACTATGCATAGCATTACGGGCTGGCTTAAAATTAACTTAAGATTAACTAAGCAATGATGAAGTCAGTGATAAAACATTAATGTAAACAGATTACTATAAAGCACAAGTGAGTATTACAAAGACAGGTCATATGGTTGCATTCAGTCATATGAAGGATTCTGTTAGGTAGTGTATTTAAAAAATAATAAAGTTAGATTCGGTTTTAGGTTTAACATTTATGTGATATAATTGTGAGAAACATTTAAGATATACAATTTATAAGGTTCAGTTATTCAGTATTTATTTGGTTTTGGGTGAGTAAGTGATCTCTGAGTAGAGACTTGAATTTATAAACAGGAGGGGTGTTAATGTTGCAGTTTAAAAACTGTAGTGTAAAGCACCCTTCTGGCAAGACAGTGATGGAGTGAATGATGGTGAAAGTTTTTCTTTTTCGGGCCACCCTGCCTTGGTGGGAATCGGCCGGTGTGATAATAAAAAAAAAAAAAAAATAAGGTAATGAATTCCAGATTTTAGGGCCTTTTATGTGCATTGAGTTTTTGCATAGTGTGAGATGAACACGAGGAACATCAAAGAGTGATCTGTGCCTTGTGTTATGGTCATGTGTTCTGTTGAGGTTGGCAAGGAGATGTTTGAGGGGAGGGTTAATATCAGAGTTAAGTGTTCTATGTATGTAATAGGTGCAGTAATAAGTATGGATGTTTTGTATGGTGAGTAGGTTTAGTGTATTGAATATTGGTGGAGTGTGCTGCCTGTAGTGAGAATTTGTTATCATTCTAACTGCAGCCTTTTGTTGGGTAATTAGTGGTCTGAGATGGTTAATTGTTGTTGAGCCCCATGCACAAATTCCGTAGGTGAGATAGGGGTAAATAAGAGAGTGATATAGGGCCAGGAGGGCTGACTGTGGAACATAGTACCGTATCTTCGATAGTATGCCTACAATCTTGGAAATTTTCTTAGAAATTTGTTGTATATGTGTATGAAATTTGAGTCTATTATCAAGGTGGATTCCTAAGAATTTTCCCTCTGTTAGCTTTGTGATAGGTGATCCGTTTATCATTATGTTAAGAGGGACATCTGTAGCTCTGTTACCAAACTGAATGAAGTAGGTTTTGTCAATGTTTAGTGTAAGTTTGTTAGTCCTCATCCAGTAGATATTTTCTGTAATTCGGTATTTACAGTATTGGCTAGTGTGACTGGGCTCGGGTGAGAGAAGACGTATGTAGTGTCATCTGCAAATAGTGTGGGTTTGAGTAATTGCGAAGCATTTGGAAGGTCATTTATGTATAGGAGAAAGAGAAGAGGGCCAAGGACACTTCCCTGTGGGACACCAACTGTAATTGGTTGCGCAGAAGAGTTTGCCCCATTTGCGTACACATATTGGCTTCTGTTGCTGAGTATGACTTGAGGTAGTTGAGGGAGTGCCCTCTTATACCATAGTGTGACAATTTTACGTGGAGCAAGTCATGGTCAACTGTATCAAAAGCTTTACGTAAGTCAATGAAGATCCCCAGTGGGACTTCTTTTTTCTCTATTGCAGTGTATATATGTTCTAGCATGTGTATAATAGCATCATTAGTATTTTTATTAGGCCTGAATCCAAATTGGCAGGGGTTGAGTATGTTTTGGGAGATAAGGTAGGAGTAGATTCGTTTATGAATTAATTTTTCGAAGATTTTTGAGAGAGGGTGTAATTGGATATTGGCCTATAGTTATTCAACTCTGTTTGGTCTCCTCCTTTGTGGATCGGGGTGACCCTTGCTATTTTGAGTACTGTAGGGAAGGTGGAGGATTCGATGGATTTGTTAAAGAGTGTTGCAATGATTGGAGATAGCACTTGTGACACTTTTTTGTATATAAAGGGTGGTAAGGTACTTAAATCTCCTGCCTTGTTTTTTAGTGCATTGATAATAAGGAGACTTCGTATGGGTTAGTCGGAGCTAGGAACAGTGTGTTCGGGTAGTTGCCGGTGAGGTAGTCATTTGGTGGGGTATCTGAGCTTGGGATTTTATTGCAAGGTTTTGTCCTATAGTGGAGAAGAAATCATTGAGTCTGTTTGCTGTTTCTGTTGGTGGGAGTTGGGGTTCATCTGATTTTGCTAATTTTATTTCGCTATTTCGTGATATCTTTTTTGTTCCCAGAATTTCTGATAGGGTTTTCCAGGTCTTTTTTATATCACCTCGTAAGTTGGATAATCTGTTCTCATAATACAATTTTTTTGCCCTTCTTATCAGGCTGGTTAGGATTGACGAGTAACGTTTTGTTTGGTCTCTGGTTATGTGACCCATTCTGTACTGTTTTTCATATTGGTGTTTTGTATTTATGGATTTGAGAATGCTGGGTGTTAGCCAGGGACTGTTCAGTCTCTTTGCTGTCATCTGTTTAGTTTTTTTAGGGCAGTGCTTGTTATAGAGGTATTGGGTCTTTTTTTAGAAAATTATTAATACATTCGTCAATATCTGTATAGATTTCTAGCTCAGTGTGCCAATCAATGTTTGCTAATGCTGTTGTGAAGTTATTAATGGCTGCCTCATTGTGAAGTCTGAAGGTGACTTTAGTAGTGTCTTGGGGTAGTTTACCAAGAGTTGTTATGAGGAAAGTAGGGTAGTGGTCTGTGGTATTATCTGTAATTATGCCTGATTTTAAAGGGGATATGGTGTTGGTCCAGATGTGGTCAAGTAGGGAAACACTAGTCTCTGTAACTCTTGTAGGTTTTGTTACTGTTGGTAGTAACATACAGTTACTCATTGTGTTTGTGAATTCAGTAACGTGTGGGTCCTGGTCTTGCAGGAGATTTATATTGAAGTCACCTGAGAGTAGTAAGTGATCTTTGTTCATGCGTGCATCAGTTATCATACTTCCTAGATTTTGACTAAATTGGCTAATGTTTGACTGTGGAACTCTGTAGATGTTTATCAATGTGAGAGGTTTTTGTAGGTATTTGGATTTGAATTTAGCTATTATATATTCCCCATGTTCATCCCTTGTGCAAGTATTAGTGATACATTCTAGTTGGTCTGAGTAGTATATGGCTGTGCCACCCCCTTGTTGGTCTGGCCTACAGTTGTGTATGGCTGTGTAACCAGGAATGGCATAGACATCTGTACTATCAGGCTTTAGCCAGGTTTCAGTTAGTGTAATGATGGACATATTGGCATGTAAGGAATTTAGTAATGCTATGAGGTCATCATAATGCTTGCTTAAAGATCTGATATTGTAGTTAAAGACAGTTATGTTGTTGTTGGCACTGAGAAGTGCCTTTGATTGTTCTGCAGTGTAGTAATTACAGTAACTGTTTGATTCATTAAGTCATTAAATAAGAGGTTGGTATCAGGATCAATGCTTTAAATCATAAGATTTGTAGTGAATCTATAGTTAGAATTAAGTATAAAACAAAGTAAATAGTCTTAAGCTAAAAAAGAGCACCTGAATTATTTAACAAATGTAAAATAATGAGCTAAGGGACTAATACAAATAAAGTGATGATCATATAATAGAGCTTGGGAATATGATAGTAGGTAGTACTATAAAGGTAATTTTTTAAAGTTAGAATTATAGTTTAAAATTATAATAAAAAGGGACTAATATAGGTTGTGGTGAAGAATAAAGTGGTAATCAGATAAATGAGCTTTGGAATATAATGGCAAATTGTGAACTTATTCTACTTTAGCACCTGAGAATAGCACCTTGATTATTTTAACAATTGTGGATATATAAACTAGGATAGTTATATAAAGCTAAAAAAAAAGGAGAAAATATATAAGGGACTAAAATTAAGTAATGGTAAGCAAAGTTAAATGGACAGATGGTAGGAATTATAATATAAACTTATAATATAAAAATACAATTTGAAATGGTACTTGCAATTGCACTAGAGTCTGGTATAGGTTGTTGACAAGATCAAGATTATAACTATAGATTTAAATTGACAAAATAAAATTCACAATTAAAGTACCAAAAGAATAATAGTAAAAAATCACAATGGTAATGTCTTGGTTATAATATGATAGTAAGATGGTAGACAGGTACCCAGGTACAAAGGATAATACAAAGGTTGGGGTTGAATATAAAAACTTGAAAATTTGGCAACAAAAAGTTATGGGAAGTATAAAATAATGTTTAATGTACAAAAGTAAAATTGACTGGTAGTAAATAATCTTAATCTTAAGTTAATTTTAAGCCAGCCCGTAATGTTATGCATAGTATAAGTGGCTTTGGCATGCTGCTCTTATCTGTATTTTTTGTACCTCTGTATGTGTGCTCAAATTTTTAAATAAATAAATAAATAATTATTGTCCCCTAGACCCCCTCTACCAACTATGGAGCAGCCTGAGGCAGATAAGTTCAATTAAAAGTGGAGAAGGGAAACTCAAACTCCTTGGATCAAAAACTCTTCAACAACATTAAAAATATCCCCTTAAGATTATTATTACAATCATGGGGAGCGCTAAACCCGTATGTTTAGCCCAGACCAAACGGAAAATAACCTTTATTTATTTTAATTAAAACCTTGACCTTAATATTTACTATTTTCATTTAACCTCAATGAAACAGAGTACTTACATTCCTGAATATTTATAAGTAAGGAAATATGGTCCATAAGCCAAAGCAATACAATTTCCAAAGTGGAAAAACGTCATTTTTGAGACCTCGAGAGAATCACCCGTAGAAAGCGAACACTTCCAACGATTGTCACTGAGGCGGTGAACACTTCCAGCGATCACTTATTATGCTCGAACATTTCCAGCAATAATTTATCTGTCGTCGAGCACTTCCAGCAATCATTTATCTGTGGTCGACAATTTCCAGTAATCATTTATGTGATCGAACACTTCCAGCAATCATTTTTTGTGGTGGAACATTTACAATAATCATTTTTCTGTGGTCGAACACCTCCAAAAATCATTTCTCTGATAATAATAATGACATCTTTATTTCTACCCGTACATGTACAAGGTATACAGGCCTAGCTGACATCAATGACATACTATATAGAAAGTCGCTTGTTATGCAGAGCATTTTGGCAAATTAGGTCGGTTTTGTCCCAGGGTGCGACCCACACCAGTCCACTAACACCCAGGTACTCATTTTATACTGATGGGTGAACAGGGACAACAGGTGTTTTATTGAAACACTTCCCTAATGTTATCCAGCCGTACCGGATTTTCAAACTCAGGACCTCAGTGTGTGAGCTGAGTGCGCTAGTGATCGAGCTACGGGACACAGTGGTCAAATATTTCCAGCAATCATTTCTCCGTGGTCGAACACTTCCAGTAATCATTTCTCTGTGGTCGAACACCTCCAGTAATCATTTTTCTGTGGTCGAACACTTACAGTAATCATTTCTCTGTGGTCGAACACCTCCAGCAATCATTTCTCTGTGGTCGAACACTTCCAGCAATCATTTCTCTGTGGTCGAACACTTACAATAATCATTTCTCTGTGGTCGAACACCTCCAGCAATCATTTCTCTGTGGTCGAACACTTCCAGCAATCATTTCTCTGTGGTCGAACACTTACAGTAATCATTTCTCTGTGGTCGAACACCTCCAGCAATCATTTCTCTGTGGTCGAACACTTACAGCAATCATTTCTCTGTTGTCGAACACTTACAGTAATCATTTCTCTGTGGTCGAACACTTCCAGCAATCATTTCTCTGTGGTCGAACACTTCCAGCAATCATTTCTCTGTGGTCTAACACTTACAGTAGTCACCTTTTAGAAAAGAACGGGATTCAAATTACAAACGAATCACCATGGCTGTTTATTCGCAATTACAATATATTAAGCGTAATGTAGAAGTAATGCGGCAGAAAAAGAGGGAATTTGGTCTATCCCAAAGTATGAACAGCATACACCATAAGGTATTTATATATATAAAGGCATGGATAATTATGTGTATAATGTAACACAGCTTATATGGATAAGGTATGCCAATAACATGAAATATAGCAGGAAAAATTCGGTTTTTAGAATCGACAGTCCCTCACCAGCCTTGAGGAACTTTAGGGGAAATATGAATTATTAAAGTTTGTTACTGCAAAAAAAGGCTAATATGGAGATCTGGTCCTTTTAATAAACTACACATTATCTTCTATGAAGTACAAGAATGCTATCTATAACTTGGCACAAATCGTTATATCTTGAGAAATTATTTGGCCAGTCACAAAAATAAATCTAATGTTAAAGGAGCACCAGTCCCACATCTACCGCTGATGGAGTAAGATTTAAGTTAGGTTAGTTTTATATTTTTTTCTTACAGTTGCACAAAATAAAGCAATGCTCATAGCAAATCAAATATAACAGTGGACATTTTTAGAAATAAATTATTGCCAAACTATAAAGGAGCTTGATCTGCATAATTAATAAAAAATCACTTAAAAATCTTAATTTCTAACATCATTATTCTTCAAGTTTCTAGTTCGATCAGTTTTTTCGTCTACTATAGATACATCTCACCTTGATGCTGATCAGTCCAGAGAACTGGACTGATGCTCCAAATCCTTGAATCAATCCCTAGTGTTCTATTTTCCAAGGCGCTGTATGACCCCTATGGGTTTAGCCTTCCCCCATACATGTAATAATACCACTCTTGTGGGCTTAACACTTACGTTTTTATTTTAATAATAATACAGAGTAACCCTAGGTCTTAAAGTGTCATAAGTATCATCCTACCAACTTACCTCATAATTTGTAATATATTTTAAATTTAAGAATTAATCTAAGTCTGCCCGAAATGCCTAGCCATGCTAGGCGTTCTAGTGGCACCCTCTGTAATTATTTTATTACATGTAAACCACACAATAACCAAATTCTGTAAACTCAGCATTGTAATCCTTATAGAGAATAAACTTTGAATTTGAATTTGAAGAGTTCATCAAAGAACCCTTCAAGGAGAGAAGGGCTGCGTTGATGCTGTGAAGGGCTCTTGATCCAAGGAAATGGCACTACCTTTCCCTTCCTTGGATCAAAACATGATATACCAGGTGCAGTAAGACTTGACTGGGGCTTACCACCTCCTCCATGGATATAATGACAATGCACTCTCATCAAAGTTAAAAATAGAAGAGTTGACTAGTATCATCATCAGGTTAGGTTCACCAGAAGGATGACTCTTCTACCCAGACGTCTTGACCAAACTTGCATTGAGGAGTTTCTCAGCAGCTTTGATAATGTATTATCAGATTGTGACGGTAAGTCAGTAACCATTTTACAGTAAATATTAATATTAAGATAACAAAAAGGTTAAGTTCTTGGTTGTTACTACTAGCTGGTACCTGGACAACCTGAGATTTCATGATTGCATCATCGTATTTCAATAATTTCGTATCTGATGGTTACAGTGTGTTATTTTATATGAATCTAATGAAAATATGTCATTAAACAGTACAACTGTAAGATTTCTTTTACATAATCCTCTCTGTATTTTAGGTGAATCACACATGGCAGTGGAAATTAGCCTATAAGACCTGCTTACCCTCAAAACCATTGTAAAAATTTGTGTTTTTCGAGGGAATACAAATAAAAAACTGACCCTAACTTTAAGAATACAGCATATATTTTTTCTTTAGATTATTTAATCTTTGCAATGACATATATTCGAGTATCATCATACTTCCTATCTTCTACATTTTTGTTCTGCCAACATTTAAATAGACTATTTTCCTCCAGTCTCAAATTGTTCCAAGTCTGAGATTAAATACTGAAGAAAAATAAACAATGTTTTATTCAGGAAATCTGCAGATAATTTTAGCAGTATAAATTTGTACAAGGGTTCTGGAGATAGATATAGTACATCAGTGATAAGTTGTTTCTTCAACAGAATTTCCCAATCAAGGCAGTCCTATATGACCCTTGTGGGTTTAGCACTTACTTTTGATTGTAATTATGATAATAATAATAATAATACAGTACCCAGTCAAGACAATCAGTGATTTATTTTCATTGTGGTCCTTAATCCAATATTGAGCCCTGAGCCCCATAGGGCTCAGGGCTCAAGGTGGCATCATCTTGGCCTCATAAATGATGGACCCAGGTTTGATCCTGGCATAAGTGGAAACATTGGACATGTTTCCTCACACCTGTTGGCCCTGTTCACCTAGCAGTAATTGGGTACCTAGGTGTTAGCCGACTTATGTGTCGCATCCTGGGGAAGGGGATGAAAGGGCCGTCATTGAAATAGGCCACACTCAGTGTTTGTGGTTCAGTCCCCAGCCCAGTGGAAATATTGGGTGTGTTTCCTTATACCTGTTACCCCGTTCACCTAGCAAGCAAGTAGGTACCCTGATGTAAGTCAACCAGTTTGGGTTGCATCCTGGGGGACAAGATTGAAGAACCCCCAATGGAAATAAGGCAGACAGTCCTCAATGATCACAATGAAAATAAGTAACTGATTGTCATTTCATTAGTGGGATGTTGCATCTCCAGCCAAGTCTTTTGCTTTCATGATATTTTGTTCGGATTTTTAACCTTGGAAGACTAGCCACCCTGAATAACCTGGAGTATACCTGGAGAAGGTTTCAGGGGTCAGTGCCACAGCCTGGCCTGTGACCAGGCCTCACGGTGGATCAGGGCCTGATCAACCAGACTGTTAATGCTGGTTACACATAAACTGACGTACGAACCACAGCGCATCTGGTCGGGCAGTGACTAGGTGTCTGTCCAGTGTCTTCAAGAGTGTATCAAGGAGACAGTCCATTGTGAAGAGAATAACATTAAGATAAGATTTGTTCAGATATTTAATCCGGAGGGTTAGCCACCTGGAGTTTACCCAGGATAACCTAAGAAAAAATCATTGTGATATTGAGGTCCTTTAATTTTGTCCCCCAGGGTGCAACTATTATCCAAGTACCTAGTTACTGCTAGGTGAACAGGGACAGCAGGTGTAAAGAAACATGCCCATTGTTTCCACCAATGCCAGGGGTTTAACTATGGACACTAGGTGTGTGAGGCAAGTGCATTGCCAACCGAGCCACCAGATCTCCATTCTAAATAGTGTATAGTCCTGATGAAGGCATGTGTAGCAATTATTAGGACTCCACAAAATAGGTTACAGTATTTTTAAGTATTAGGTTAAGTCTGCCTGAAATGTCATGGCATGATAGTGGCTTTCTTTTTACCAATCAGATTATGAAATGTAAATACACATTGTAACCTTAGCAAAGAAATAAACTTTTGTTTGTTGTTGTAAGTTTGGCTCCTAACTAGGCTTGATTCTGTTGGGTTCTCCGAGATTAAATATACATAACATTTATGTGCCCTTAGAACCTTTGTACACATTTATAATACTATTTGTAAAGCCTTTTGTATTCTTCCTTTTATGTAAATATTTAAAAAATGAACACCAATGGAAATAAATCACATTATTTGACTTTAATGGGCTCTCCTAGGTTTATTAATCTACCTAATGTACTATTTATATGCCTATAACATCTGTTTGACCTCATGATCATTCTAAAAAACTGTAAGTTATGTTTGCAAAACCTTAAAAAACAAAGAAACTTGCTTAAAATTTAATTAACAGGTTAAACTAATAACACTGTGTTGTTATTGCCCTCTTAATCTTAAGTTAGTCTTAAGTTTGCCTGAGGTGCTCTGCATATACTGGGGCTTATGGTATGTACACCTAATGTCATTCATTCTCTTTTGTACAGCTACTGTATCATGCTGAAATAAAATATTATTACATGTATCATTTCTAGTGTGTTGTAAAATTGTGTTAATTACTTTTGTTTTTTTATGTTTTAGGTGTTTTGTGGTATGGTGACACTTTATTAGGCCAGGCAAATGAAGCTTTAAACCAGCTTCGAGCTTTAGGGAAGAAGATATTTTATGTGACAAATAATTCTACTAAATCACGTGATGAATATGTTGCCAAGTGTAAGCGACTTGGCTATATAGCTGACAAGGTACTGTAACAGTAAGCATTGTTGTTTTATTAATACAATATATACAATTTGGTTTGAGTAATGTAATACAGTAAACCTCAATTTAATTAGCCCCAATTTAATGTATGTATATTGGATTTAACAAAGTCTGTGGCCAGACAGCATCAGGAAAACAACAAAATCATTTAAATCCAGAATTGTCCATTATTGTACTATCCACTGAGTAAATTTAACATTTTATGGACAAAAATTTGTTAAATCAGAATTGTCCATTATTGTTACACTCATGAAAAGACAATCTCATCACTTGGATTTAGCAAACAATCAACTTTAACAGATACTCCTCTCTCCATTAGTCTGTTAAATTGAGGGTTCACAGTACGTACAATCTTGTGACATTGTTACGTAAGAAGTAATTACATTAGTGTAGTAATATGACATGCCTGTTGCTTGATTCAGTGTGGTATAATGAGCAACAGCTGTTTGGTTGTGGAATAACTTATGTTTTTTATTACAGATTGACTGATGGAAGTATCATGTCTTTGTTGTTGAGCTGAAAGTCTGCAACAAGCCTAGAAACCATGTGAATTAGTATATTTTTTAATGTTTCAGGAAGAGATTGTGAGTTCATCATATGTAATGGCTCAGTATCTCAAACAACTAGACTTCAATAAAAAAGTGTATATTATAGGAATGTCGGGAATGACAAAGGAGTTGGATGACGTTGGGATTGGACACAGTGAAGTTGCAGTACGTTATTAAGAATGTTGTAGTCTGTAAAACATTTTATTAAATGTAACATCCTGTTCTGATTCATAGTGATTGGTTTGTGATACAGATTTAGCAACTTCTGATTCTACACTTAACACTGTAGTTACTGTACAGTTCATTTGATTAATATGACCAGTACTGTAATATTAATGTACTACTTCATTCCTCATTACAGCCAGAACCTCTGACAGGACATGTCTTTGACTTGGTGGATACGATAAAACTAGATCCAGAGGTTGGGGCTGTGGCAGTTGGTTTCGATGGTCACTTCAGCTTCCCGAAAATCATGAGAGCTGCATCATACTTAAACAACCCAAATTGTTTATTTATTTGCACAAATACGGATGAAAAATTTCCAATTGAAAATAGCTCTCTTATATTTCCAGGTAAGAGGGCTGTTGTTAACCAACCCTTAAACTGTCCAAACATAGATCTACGTTTGCTCGCGTAGTGCTCCGAACGTAGATCTACGTTTTTTTTACATGCTTTCTTGTGGAGAAAATCAAGGTCAGAGCGCTATGCGTGAAAACATAGATCTATGTTTGGACAGTTGAAGGGTTAAAGCTTTTATTCTTCAGGTAATTTAAAGTACAGCAAAGACTTACATAGATAAGTATTGTACTGTCTTTAGCATTGTGTTTGTGTATATGCCTCTACATTTTATTACCTTTTTGAATTTGCATGGTGTAAACTCGAGCTCTTGAGCTAATCCTGTACTTTTAAGTGAATGACCCAAGTTGGCTATGAAGCCCAATAAGGATTTACTTTCTACTGTTTAAGTGTTAGAGCATTAGGTTCACAGCTGAAAGGATCTGGGTTCAATCTCTGAGTGAGGAAAAACGTATGAGTAAGTCTTTTTAAACTTGCCCCTGTTCATCTAGCAGTAAATAAGTACTGTACTTGGGAGTCTGTTGACTGTTGTGGGCAGCATCTTGGGAAAGAGAATTGAAGGATCCCAATGAAAGTAAGCCACTGAGCTCGACTTTCTGAGACTATCCTGGGTTAATAATGCTCCAAGTTTAATAGGGTAAGCAGGCTGCCAGCAGCAACAGCCTGGTTGACCAGGCAGGCATCAGACAAGCCTGGCTGCAGGAGTAGGAAAACCCAGATAAGTCAAAAGTGTATCAAACTTAAAGATGATCCCCAAAAACATCAAAGAAAGAAAGACAGAGCAAACCTTTATTAAAATAAAGTTCCACTCTGTGTGAGCTTTATCAACTTAATAAAAAGATTACACCAAGCAAAACATTTTGTAGTCATTGTTTTCTCTTTAAATGTATTTTAATTGTTTGTACTAGCCTGGTGAGGAATTTTCATAATTTACACCAGGAAAATTTTGGAGGGATTTGTTCCAAATCTGCACACCGATATCTCTCCCTACAAAAGCAAGAGACTCGGCAGGTGGTGCAAAATACTCAGTTGAAAAATCAGAGTGCAATGAGAAATGGAAATAAGTCAGTTTGTCTGACTTTTGGATTATCCTAGGTAACTTACACTATGTATGATAATTGTACTTACGTGTACATGTGCCTAAATAAACTTGCTTGCTAAAATTCAATAAGTGTAAAGTAACCAAGATTCATCAGCACACTCCCTTCATATATAAGGGGAATTACCAGCAGATCCCTAGCTATCTCAAAGAGGGAGTTTGATATGTTCCTTAAGTCAGTTTCTGATCAGTTGTGCTATGTATGTGACAAGCACTTTACTTTCCCCATCCAAGACTGAAGTCCAGCTAACTGGTTTCCAGGAATCCCTTTATAAAAGCTATCTTGCTTACACTCCAACAGCACGTCGAGTCATAAAAACTACTTGTCCCCACTCTGTTTATGTATTTCAAGAAACTACTACAGACAGAGAACTGGTTATTTTGTGGCAGATTTGTAAGTTAATATGCTTATGTCTTTGGCATGGCTTAGTGAATATTGTATCCATCACTCAGGTTAAGCCCCATTGAGTCTTTAGTACAAAGGGAAATACATTATACAGTACTGTATATATTAATTTTCAGCTTAAAATTAATCTTATGTCAATGATGAAACATCTAAAACACAACATTTGTATACAGTTTCAAGTGGATGTTCAATGTATTGTAGTGGCATAATATTCAAAGCATGCATTGAAAGTTGTGTTTATATTTCAGGTACTGGTTGCCTTGTAAAATGTGTGGAGGTAGTTGCTGAACGCCCACCAGTAGTAATGGGAAAGCCTTCAGAGAAGATGTTTAGTGTCATCAGTGATAAGCATCAACTAAAACCTTCACGTACCCTCATGATTGGCGACAGGTATGTTCATTTTCATTTGCAATCTTATCTATACCTATATCTATTTTTTTAACACACTGGCTGTCTCCCACCAAGGCAGGATGACCCTAAAAAGAAAGAAACACTTTCACCATCATTCACACATAATCACTGTCTTTGCAGAGGCGTGCAGATACGACAGTTCAGATGTCACTCCAAATGGCAAATATCCCAAACCCCCCTCCTTTAAAGTGCAGTCATTGTACATACTTCCCACCTCCAGTACTCAAATCTGACTAACCTATTTCCTTGAATCCCTTCACAAAATATTAACCCGCTCACACTCCAGCAGCTGATCAAGTCCCAAAAACCATTTGTCTCCACTCACTTCAGTCTAACATGCTCACACATGCCTGTTGTATGTCCAAGCCCCTTGCACAAACCTGTTTTATCCCCTTCCTCCATTCTTTCCTAGGATGACCCCCTTACCCCTCCTTCCCTCCACTACAGATTTATACACCCTCCAAGTCATCCTATTTTGCTCTACCCTCTCTAAATGCCCAAACCACATCAATAACCCTCTCCTCAGCCCCCTGAATCCCTTCATAAACATTACCTTCCTTACACTCCAGCAGCACGTTAAGTCATAAAAGCACTTGCCTCCATTCACTTCTAACATGCTTACACATTCTTGCTTGATTTACAAGCCCCCTCACATACAAAACCTCCTTTACCCCCTCCCTCCAACCTTTCCTAGGGTGATCTCTACCCCGCATTCCTTCCACTACAAATTTATACACTCTCCAAGTCATCTTATTTTGCTCTTCCTCAAGCCACCCCAATGAACCCTCCTCATCCCTCTGGATAATACCTTTAGTAACCCCCGCACCTCCTCCTGATCTCCAAGCTACAAATTCTGTGCATAATATTTACACCACACACACAGCCCTCAAACACAACATCACTGCTTCCAATGGAACAATTTTGTCAATGTACTTCAGAGCTATACTGGTTCTAAATGAATTCACTTTACAGGTACATGTATTTTAGTTCTTTTTTTTTTTTTTTTTTTTTTAATTTCTTTCTCATAATAATGTTGCCTCTTCCATGAATCTGTCAAATAAATTTCAGTTATAGATTTAAATATATTTAAATTTATATAATCATTCCTTTTTATGGGAAATATTTTAGCCTTTTTTTTTGTTTACAAAATATTATTTGTATATTTTTTGTACAACATTTTTTTTTTTTATTATCACACTGGCCGATTCCCACCAAGGCAGGGTGGCCCGTAAAAGAAAAACTTTCACCATCATTCACTCCATCACTGTCTTGCCAGAAGGGTACTTTGCACCACAGTTTTTAAACTGCAACATTAACACCCCTCCTTCAGAGTGCACGCACTGTACTTCCCATCTCCAGGACTCAAGTCCGGCCTGCCGGTTTCCCTGAACCCCTTCATAAATGTTACTTTGCTCACACTCCAACAGCACGTCAAGTATTAAAAACCATTTGTCTCCATTCACTCCATACAACATACATTATTTAATTTAACCACAATGAAAGACAAACAAATTCCAAATGAAGTCTGTGGACCTAACCTAGCATGACCTGAGTTTAGTCATATAATCAAATCACGTTAGTTCTCTAAGTGACGTGCAGTCTTCCAATGAGTTTGATAACTCTTAAATCCTGTAAATAATGAAAATTTTATAACTTTACATTAAAAAATCAATAATGGGAACTCAGTCCTGCAAGATATGCAATTTGCATTTGGTCAGAAGACAATTTTAGTTATAATTTGTTTTTAGTTTATTATTTTAGTTGTTAGTCTTTATAAATGACCTTCATATTCTAAACTTCTGTAGCATTTTTCAGTTTGTCATTTTTACCTCATAATCTTGTTCCAGGTGTAACACGGACATTTTGTTTGGGAAAAATTGTGGTCTTCACACACTGGTTGTTCTGAGTGGGGTAACAACAATGAAGGACCTAGAAGACTGGGCTGACAGCGCAGATGAGGAAAAACACAAATTGCTAGCAGACTACTACCTACCAGAGCTTGGTGATCTTGTATCTCTGTTGAATAACAGAAATATTCAATAGCTTTCAAAATCAGCTCAGCTGGTTATGAGATTAAGACACATGTGCAACATCTGGGTATCTTTATTGTAGACGTTTCGCCATCCAGTGGCTTTATCAATACAAATTCTAGGACATAACTTGAAGACAGTAGAACTATGTACAGAAGATGAGGTAATCAGTCCCTCAACCTAGGAGTAGGTGCGAAGAGCACCATAGTCGTGGAGAATCTCCACGACTATGGTGCTCTTCGCACCTACTCCTAGGTTGAGGGACTGATTACCTCATTTTCTGTACATAGTTCTACTGTCTTCAAGTTATGTCCTAGAATTTGTATTGATAAAGCCACTGGATGGCGAAACGTCTACAATAAAGATACCCAGATGTTGCACATGTGTCTTAATCTCATCTTGTCGGTATTATATACCATTCGTACTCAGCTGGTTATGTTGCTTATCCTGGGAGATAAATTATATAATGAGATCTCATTCATTCTGGCTCTTTTTAAGTAGGAAAGCTTTTAATTGATTTAACTACAGTAATTTATGATGTTTGTTTATGCAATGTATGGAGGATAATGCATTTCAAGGTTTTCAAGATTGCCTTAAACCCCTGTTAGGAGTACAATTTTTTTTTCTTTAATAGGTTTGCTGCGGCCTTAAATTGAAAACTAATCCTGGGATTTTGTTCAAAATACACTCGATGGATTTTCCTTGCTCTAGACATCATATGATTGTCAACAATAATTAGACTTAAGCACTATTTCAAGAGATACAGTCTTTAAAACACAAAGGCTGTATCTATTGGGTTATTTTGAAACTCAAAATAACCCAGCTCTGGAACGAAGTTTATATGAACATAATTTGGCATTATTCACCAGTTATAAATTGACAGCACCTCCAAGAACATGAACCATGCATATTTAGGGATTTAATTATTAGAAGTTCATTCCTTCTACCAAATTAAGGATAAAAAGCACAAATTTTGTTTTTTAGGATTGTAGAGAATAAATCTATATAATGTGTGGTACTGTTAAGTGTGGGCAGCTGCTGTATTCCCATCAGAAGGATTTAAAGTATGTGGGAGATGCAAGCAAATTGTCATAAAAAGCAAATATTGGTCATATGTTTCAATATAATACAGTATTACTAAAAACAATGCTCTCAGTTAAGTGTCTAGCAGTATGAAATAGGAGCTATGACCTCCATCCTTTTTTGCATCATGGGTTCCTACAGGCAGAAAATGTGTTATCTTCTGTACTCTTTTTCATATTATGTATGAATTTTTTATCTAATATAAATTCATGCTCTACTGATATTAAATTTTAAATTATAGGTAGACTTTAAACTTCAAATATGGAGTTGTGATGATCCCTCCAATACCTAGACAGAACTTTATGTGACTGATTCTGAGTCATGCCCTGTCCATACTATAAGTCAGCATGTGGACATGGACATCCATAGAATCTGTGAATCTTGAATTTTAATGATGTGCGGTTGATAAATTATAATTACCTTTTGATTGGGAAAAGCTGTTACCTCACTTTGTATCCTCCGAAACAGTTCTTTGATCTTTACCAATATGGTTATACATACTTAAATGTTATGAGATGTATATGAGCTAACACAGCTATTGAAAATACATCCTAGGGCACTAATTTACTTAGATTGGTATGATATTATTTCACTAACCACACTGTGTCAACATAGAGTATCATCAGTCAGTTGTTACTTTCACATGTCGTATCTTAGACTAGTGAATGAGTGTCTCAAAAATTGCAACAAACAGAACTTATACTATCTAGTTACTGCTGTTTGACATGCCACTGTCTCAGGACTTGAAATTCATTACAAAGTCCTGGGATCAGTGCTGATTGGGTCTTTATGCCTGAACCCATTGATGTTAAGGACAAAGTGTATTTAATAATATTGAAACCTGAGAAGTACAGCATCCTTGCTGGTGTATGTCCATCACTGTGGTCACAATCTGAATTTTCAGGTTCCTAAGACACAAAACACAAAAAGTAATAGTGAACAGAGCAAGATCCAGTATCAGCAAGGTAAAAAGCTCAGTACCCCAAGGCACTGTCTTGGCACCTCTGCTGTTTCTTATCCTCATAGCAGACATAGATAAAAACACCCATCACACTTTTGTATCATCATTTGCAGATGACATTAAAATAAGCATGAAAGTCACTACGGTAGAGGACACTGAAAAATTATAGGAAGACATAAGCAGGGTTGTCCAGTGGGTAGCGGAGAACAACATGACATTCACTGGTGATAAGCTCCAGCTGCTTAGGTATGGAAAGAATGAAGAACTCAGAAGGAACACTAAATACAAAACTCAAGAGGGTCACCAAATAGAATGAAAGGAACATGTAAAAGACTTAGGAATAATTATGTTAGCTGACCTTTTAAAGACCATAACAAAACAAAGATCACGACAGCCAGAAAGATGATGGGGTGGGTATTGAGAACTTTCAAAACAAGGGAAATGATGCCAGTGGTGACACTTCAAATCGCTAGTGCTCCCTCATTTAGAATATTGCTCAGTGCTGATGGCCCTATTCAAAGCAGGAGAAATATCAGAGCTGGAACAAACAGAGATTGTTTGTGGCTCACATTGAGCCAGTGAAACACCTAAATTACTGGGAACACCTTCCAGTCTTGAGCATATACTCATTGGAGCAGAGGAGAGAAAGCTACATGATAATATATACCCGGAAAGTACTTGAGGGTCTGGTCCCAAATCTGCACACTGCCATGACAACATATTGGAGTGAGAGAAATGGGAGGAAGTGCAAAAGAAACCCAGTGAGGAGCAGGGGTGCTGTGGGGACAATAAGGGAACACTGTATCAACATTCAGTGTCCCAGACTATTCAACATCTTACCAGAAGATATCAGAAACAGCTGGAACAAGTGTAGAAGCCTTCAAGAGGAAACTGGACCAGTATCTTCACCAGGTGCCAGATCAACTAGGCTGTGATGGATAAGTGGGGCAGTGGGCCTCCAGCAGCAACAGCCTGGATGACCAGGCAAGCACCAGATGAGCCTGGCCATGGCTGGGCTCTGAGAGTAGTGAAACTCTTCAAGGGTTCATCAGAGGTAAAGGTATACTCTGTATTATCCTTGCATATATAATAAATATTAGAACTTATGAATATTTTAACAGATATCTTTGAAGGCTTTCAAAAGTTTTCCTACTCCCACAGCTCAGCCATAGGCCAGGTTTGTCTGGTGCTTGCCTGATCAACCAGACTGTTGCAACTGGTGGCCTGCTGGCTCACAAATCCATCACAGCCCAGCTGATCTAGGTTACAGTTTATTACATGAAAATTATTAATATAGGTAATGAATCACTGAGTGAAGTGCACTGTAGACCTTTAATTGTATACAGAAGAAATTTATAATAATAAACATCTAACACAAGAAGTACTGGTATGGTATATGCAATATTACAAAAATACTTGTCCACACATTACTACAAATGCAACAGAAGACTGAATAAATATTAGATACTATATGCATTACTTGAATGTGTTATCTCCATTCACTACATTCTGCGTTAGTGAGTGATATTGTCATCTTTGTTACCTAAGTTATGGATAGTGTTATGTGATTTCAGAAAGTAAAACAATATTTGAGGACCCAGTGTCTCCCATTTTCAATAGGAAGCAAGATGATATGTATTTTGAGTTTACAGTTATGTAGAGTACATTATTGTATTATATTTTTTTAGACAATGAAATGATTGTTATTTATTTATTAATTTATTTAAACTGTAGTATATATATAATGTGTACAGTACTTACAGATACTAAAGTCCCTGTGCCTCTTATTATACTATTGTGAAGTCATTTATTATTTCACTCTAAACTCGAAAACATTTATATTAGACAATACAGTATTTACTGGCTAATATAATTCAGTCCTCTAGTATGCTAGAGGGCTGAATTATGTACTAGCTTACCCATGGAATTTCTTAAAGACATCAGTATTATTCCCACTTGGGTAAGAGCTGTCAGTTCCAAACCAATAATTATGTACTGTAGTAATGTGTCCCTTAATGGACCTGAATTGTGTTAAATTCCCCACAGTCATCTGTGTCTATAGAAATAGCTCTTTCAACTGTTGTTATAGGTCTAAAAGAGTGGCAAAGTATGTTGTGACTGTGAGTGATGATGTGGCAACATACGCAATGGGAAATGCTACCATGTCAAATAGGTCTGTCACACTGGTGGCACTAAACCACATAGCCTGCAGATTTATTAAATAGTACACAGTTAAGTAATTTAGGGAGTAATTATTTTCATTGTTCCATTTGCAACCCATGGAGAGGACTTTAATGTGTTTCAGGTCCATAGGTTGTGACCACACGGATAATATCCTTTGAGTGTCTTGACCCATCTCCATAATTTATCCTCTTATTTATTCAGACTTCGCCCGACACTTAAGTACTGTCTTTATATGTATATATGTGGAATAATAATTTTTTATGCAAGTTACTAATGTGTTTATTTTTCCTCTACTTCTACACATCTGATTAATTGTAGGTAGTGCAACAGGCTGCTACTTGATTGCTTTGTTGCACTCATAACTGCAGTTTTGCCAAATTTATATCTATTAACTAGCCACTTATTAAATCAGTGAACCTCATGAAATGCTATTTTCTGGGGGATGAATTTCCTGGATATGCTGTACTTATTAGGAATATGCCAAAGTATTGGTGTCGGTGGGTAGTGGATAATTTTGATGGTACTGATATTGGCCTAAAATTGACTAATGATATTGGTGGGCATTAGCTAATAATGATGGAATTGGTATTGACCTAAATTTGAGTATCAGTACTGACACTGGCAAAATTTTTGGTATTGTCCCATCACTAGTACTTATAATCAGAGAATCAATTAGAACTCACTCCTCAGGGTGTCCCGTAGTTCGATTGCTAGCACACTCAGCTCTCACACTGAGGTTCGTGGTTTGATCCTAGGTATGGATGACAACATTAGGACAGTTTCCTTAAGACACCTTTCCTGTCCACCTAGCAGTAAAATAGGTACCCGGGTGTTAGCCGACTGGTGTGGGTTGAATCCTGGGTACAAAATTGACCTAATTTGTCTGAAATGCTCTGCATAACAAAGGGTTTTCTATATAGCAGTATGTCACTGATGCCAACTAGGCCTGTACACATTGTACATGTACTTGTAGAAATAAAGATTATTATTATTATTACATCTGGCAAATATTAACACCCTCAGCTGTTGTCTTAGGATTGCTTCTAAGTGCACTTGGATTTGGAACAAGTGCACTTAGAAGAAAACAACACTAATATTGGAGTATTTTAAGTGGGCCCTATGGGTTTAGCACTCGCCATGAATGTAGTACAGTGCTGTAATAGCAATACAAGAATATCTAGAGGGTTTGTACAAAAAATGTTAAGCAAAAGGTAATATGCACTTATTATTATAGAAGAAAAATAATAGCAGCATAAGGGATTCTGATACACAACTGTGCAACAGTATAGCAAGTGCAATATACTTTTAACTCCTATTCAATATGGCTGCACACTATTACTGTAACAAAATAGGTAAGTGTATATAATTTTTAAAAAAAACTGAATTACAGTACAGTATTGAGGCACTGCAGGGTATTTGCCCTGATGCCAGTGAAGGGCTCTTGGTCAAAGGAAACAGAGCTAACCTCCTCTTTGGAATAAATCTCACTGCCTCTACTTTCCTGCAAGTTTAGCACTCCCAATGTGAATGAAATAATAATTATATTTATTGGCAGTTTGGAGGGATATGTTGTGTATCTTTATATGTGTATGCTTCTAGACTGTTGTATTCTGAGCACCTCTGCAAAAACAGTGATAATGTGCGAGTGTGGTGAAAGTGTTGAATGATGATGAAAGTATTTTCTTTTTGGGGATTTTCTTTCTTTTTTGGGTCACCCTGCCTCGGTGGGAGACGGCCGACTTGTTGAAAAAAAAAAAAAAAAAAATTTATTTCTACAAAGTACATGATACCACTGCTAAATAATAGTTGGCACTTTTGGCATACTTTACAGAAAGCTTGAACTCTGGAAGAGAGAAGTAGATACTAGACATGTCTGCTTTCCACAATCTCACTGGAGCTCTCGGCAATAATCTGGATGAACGTCTTATGCTTGACAATATCAAAGAGCATCTGCAATCCTTGGCAGAAAAGTTCAAGTAATACTTCCCTGCAACATAGGTTGATACTGTAGCCATGTCCCTTACAAGAAATCCTTTCTGACGTCGGGCATAATTTGCTTGATGAGTTATGTAGGAAGGTAACTGCACCGAAGTCTCCAATTCAGGCTGATGGATTTCAACACCTTGTAAGATCCCCATCCTGCATGATGGAATATAACAGGGAAACATAGCTAGCTTTCCTTCCCCACTGTGTAAATTCATGAGTTTGGTTACTAATGGAAATAATTATTGAATTATTTCAGTTTTGTCAAGTGAAGAAGTCACTGATAGAGAAAAATGTAATTTTTGTTATGTAATGAATAAAGTCATTGTTAAAGGCGTGATTTTAGCCTATTAGAACTTTTTTTTTTTTTTTATTAACAAGATTTCTTTATATAATTTGTTCTCGAATGTTGTTAGAAATCTGTAACATATTGACACCACAGATACAGGGTTCTTCTTTAAATGGTCCATGATAAAAAAGAAAAGATTAAGTGTTAGGTCAATCTCAGAGAAAAGTTTTGGAATTATTTTAACCTGTGTAGGTCCTAATTAACCTGTTTTTATGAAAACAATATCAGGAAAATTGAAATACTGGTTTTCATGCAATAATTTCTGTGCCTCATCTGACTAACTTAAAATCCCTATAAAGCTAAATACTTAATATACTTAATAATGCAAATTCAACAGCAGCTTCAGACTTAATATGGTGTGTATTTTAGGATATTGGTCTCTTTGAGAGACCAATATCCTAAAATACACACCATATATTTTAGGATATATTAGGATATTGGTCTCAAAGAGACCAATATCCTAATATATTCTAAAATATGGGCTCTCAGAGATCAATTATTAATTGGTGAGAGACCAATTAATTAATTGATCAATTATTAATTGGTCTCTGAGACCAATTAGTTTTGGGTAGCACATGTCCAAACATGCCATTTTTATTGAAGAAATTATGACCACAATTTCTAGGTTTGGTTGCAGGGGTCGAGTCTCAGCTCCTGGTGTCCTTGTTATAACTTATGACTATCTCTTCTGACTGACTTCGAATCTTCAAGGCTAATATGCAACATTATTAGAAACTTATGCCACACTGCACTATGTGGACACATTAGTTGTTGTTGTTGTGGTTGTTATGGTTATTGTTATTGTTGTTTGTTTATGTTGTGGTTATTATTATTGTAACTTGTCCCAGCAAACCTTATAAATTAAGCCTGGCTCTTCCACTTCCATTTCCTGGTGTTTGCATAGCAGGATGTGGACCATAATCTCTGTTAACAATGGACCTCATGACATCACTAGTGTTGCAAATACATGCTATTATACTTCTTTGATACAACGTTCAGCCCACAACCGAGATAGCCTGGGTTCAATCCCGGGCGGGGCGAGTCTCTTTACACATGCTACACCCCTATGGGAAAAAGTCACTTTGTGTTGACTTTTTTTTGGGTTATCCTAGGTAATTTATACTATATGTGATAATTGTACTTATGTACCTGTACCTAAATAAACTTTCACCTATCACCAGGTGTCTAGGAGCTAGTCACCAGTCTCCAGAAGTTAATAATGTACATAATCCTAAGTCTTCTTATTATAGTCAAAATAACAAAGAAGACTATATAGTAGTATGCCCGTACGGGCATACTACTATAGTTTGTTATTTTGATTATTCATGGGAAAGTGGTCACTACGTAGGAGTCTATGCAGTGTCTGGGGATAGTTCAGGTGTGATACAGTGAAGGAGTGTAATACTGCAGCTCCAATTCCTCGGATCAAGTCATTCAGTGGCAGCTCCCTTGGGACAGGTCAAAGGTGACTAACCAGGCTGACCTCAGTGTCATCCAAGTATCTGTAATTAGATAATTTTTATCTGATGAGGTAAAAAAAAAATTTACTAGCAGAGAACTGGAAATATTGCAATAAAGTTTTTTGTCATGTGAGGATAAATGATATACCGTATTTTTTCACATTTTATTTCATAAGTATTATAAATATACAAATCAAATATTACATATAAGAAATCAAATATTACACACTTATTTATTTTTATTCGGAATCATCGTCATTTCTGAATTATATAAAATTATATATCTATATTGCCACAGGAAAAATTTTTCCTTTACATATAATTATATATATATATATATATATATATATATATATATATATATATATATATTCAAACGATCTTAGTAACAACTAACAAAGTTAATATTTTAAATAATTTGGTTAAGTAAAATTTATAAACAAATATCATGCTTATTATACGTTTAAATTTGAGAATGTTGCTATAGGTCTTCTATGGGTTTAGCGCACCCAAGACTGTAATAATAATCTTGTTACAGAGTTTACAGCTGCGTCCATCACAGTGCTGGTCACATCCACTCTCTCGTCTAGCTATAGTGTTTGTGTGGGACAAACATGTCACAAATTTGCATTGTGATCACCAAAGACACATGTCATCTGACAGAAGAAAAAATGTTAAGATATACGCAGATGGTAATTTGACGTGTAAGTGGCGGGTATACAGCGTCTCTGATATTCACACTGGTAGAAAGTTTCCGGGTCTGGCGACTTGTCTTCCAGGAGAAACCTGCCCTTACACAGTAGAGACAATGAAGGAGAAAACAGGTCATGACCCGTCTTGATCAACCTAGCTGTACCTGACACGATGAAGACGAACAAAATACGAACTCTTAATATTTGCGAAGTGACTGGATGAATGATGCCGTGGTATGGCATTTAGCGGGCTAAAAGATGTCCGCCATTACTGCTAGTGTAAGTAATATTTTCGTATTTGTATTGTACGCGTATTAACCTGAGTATCTCAATGTTTATGACCCCCCACTGAAGATACTTTGATGGTCAGGCTTTTGATGCAAGGAATTGGACTTGTATTGAACCTGATTGCTTCCCATTTCCCAGGTACTGTATAACCCCAACAGATTTAGCTCTCCACTAAATTTAATAATAATATTTATGAAGCTTCAAATAGAAGGTGGGCAGCTATGAACTGAATGTGGTTAATTGGACCTAACATGGGCTAGTAAGCCTAGTGCAGTGTTCATTCTTGTTCCTTCGAATCTAACTAAAAATATATTAAATTAGCTGTTTATTAAAAATGTAAATGTGTATTTCTTTGATAAAATTAAATAAAATGTGTACAGAAATGTCAGCTTAAAGATTGGGGAATGGGAAGCAATCGGGTTCGATCATAGGAGGGGAGGAATTATCTAGTTCCTTGGATCAAAAGCCTCTCCATTGAAAGGTATGGTAACATACCTTTCAGTTTTCATTTTTTGATTACCACTATCCTCTTGGCTCCACGGTCTTTTTCGACAGGAAAGCGATAAAAAAAAAATTATCTGCCCCAGCATCTCAAAATTCTTCAAACACTTGTCGCAGCCTGTGAACAGTACATTATTACTACCTTACAATTTACCAGCAGTATATGCATGACGTGAATTCACCACTATGTGACCTCATCTGCAAAATCTCATATGTAGGATTTATTTAGGAATATGAGGTTTATGGATACATTACATCATTAGGTCTAAATGCTAAGGCAAAGAGTGATCTATACAAAAGCCCCTGAGTTGAGGAGTATCATAGCAAAATTTCATTAGTCACCACACATATGATAGTAAGGGTATTGTGGCTATATTCACAAATTCAAGGGAAACGGGAAAAAATAAATATATTTGATAAAATGTATTTGTCAGTTCTTAGATAAGTTAGCAAAATTAAACTATATTATGTAAATTTTAACAATGAGTTAGGTTTATAGGATATTCTGGATGCAAAATAATGAAAGTTAGCACCTAAAAAAATTGCATAAATGGAGTATATTAGGGATTAAAACATTCTAAAATAGTGAACGGGTGATAATTTATTATAATAAAAAAGAAGCGCTAAGCCACAAGGGCTATAGAGCAACGGGTCATAAGTATCCTTAAAATGACTAGAGCGTAGTCGATAGGCTTTCAACCTAATAACCCAACCAGCCCGGGTATGATAATGTTGTCTCAAAATCAAGTCCATTTGAGCTGGAGATCCCAGCATTATTCGGACACTAAGATAACCAGTAAAAATGTTGAGGTATTTAATTTCAGTTCGTAGTGTGCGTCGCTGCAGTGTTCTCACACTGAAACTTTCTGTCGGCTGAATATGACAAGGCACCAGGCCAGGAGTGTGAATGCTGAGGGCCATGTATCAGTGGAGGCTCTACTGAGTGGGTACATATCATTACAAGCGTGGATGGTACAGCACTTGGCACATGACTCGTAGCTGATGCCGAAGCCCTTGGGTCGGCAGCCGAAGTAGCAAACATCTGTGCACTCCCTGGTGAGGGTTATCAACACTCCATTCACCTCCGTCCTCTCCACCTGCCACAATACACATTAATTAAACCTTAATACGTAAAGGTGGTGACCCTACAGACGTAAACAACTATAGGCCAATATCAAACTTACCATTGCTATCCAAAATCTTCGAGAAACTCGTGCACAGGAGACTATATTCATTTATAACGTCACAAAACATACTCAACCCCTTCCAATTTGGATTCAGGAAAAATAAAAGCACTAATGATGCAATTATAAAAATGCTAGACCTGCTTTACACAGCATTGGAAAATAAGGAATATCCGCTAGGAATTTTTATTGACCTAAGAAAAGCGTTTGACACAGTAAACCACGGCATCCTCCACAAACTTGACCATTATGGTATAAGAGGCCATGCACTTGCATATTTTAAATCCTACCTTTCTAATAGGTATCAGTATGTCACCATTAAAGACACAGCCTCATCAATACAGCCACTTGATACTGGAGTTCCGCAGGGAAGTGTCCTTGGACCCCTGCTCTTCCTCATTTACATCAATGATCTTCCAAACATATCCCAACACCTGAAACCCATTCTCTTTGCTGACGACACGACTTATGTCATCTCCCACCCTAATCTTGCCACCCTCAACACCATTGTTAACGAGGAGCTGCTCAAAATATCGACTTGGATGACAGCCAATAAACTTACACTTAACACTGGCAAAGCCTACTATATTATGTTTGGTAGCAGAGCAGGTGTTGCGCAACTTAACATTAAGATCGACAATACTAATTGCCAGACATAATGAGGGCAAATTCCTTGGCCTATACCTCGACAACAACCTAAATTTCAGCACTCATATCCAACACATAACAAAAAAAGTATCCAAAACGGTGGGCATCCTCTCCAAGATATGATACTAAGTGCCGCAAACTGCCTTCTCACACTATACCATTCACTTATATATCCATACCTCACCTATGCTATCTGTGCTTGGGGTTCAATTGCAGCAACACACCTAAAGCCAATAATAACCCAACAAAAAGCCGCAGTAACAATAATCACTAAATCCCATCCCTGGCAACACCCCCCCCCCCACTCTTCATAGATCTAAACTTACTCCCTGTTCAGAACATCCACACTTACTACCTGGAGTTTACCTGGAGAGAGTTCCGGGGGTCAACGCCCCCGCGGCCCGGTCTGTGACCAGGCCTCCTGGTGGATCAGAGCCTGATCAACCAGGCTGTTACTGCTGGCTGCACGCAAACCAACGTACGAGCCACAGCCCGGCTGATCAGGAACCGACTTTAGGTGCTTGTCCAGTGTCAGCTTGAAGACTGCCAGGGGTCTGTTGGTAATCCCCCTTATGTATGCTGGGAGGCAGTTGAACAGTCTCGGGCCCCTGACACTTATTGTGTGGTCTCTTAACGTGCTAGTGACACCCCTGCTTTTCATTGGGGGAATGTTGCATCGTCTGCCAAGTCTTTTGCTTTCGTAGTGAGTGATTTTCGTGTGCAAGTTCGGTACTAGTCCCTCTAGGATTTTCCAGGTGTATATAATCATGTCTCTCTCCCGCCTGCGTTCCAGGGAATACAGGTTCAGGAACCTCAAGCGCTCCCAGTAATTGAGGTGTTTTATCTCCGTTATGCGCGCCGTGAAGGTTCTCTGTACATTTTCTAGGTCAGCAATTTCACCTGCCTTGAAAGGTGCTGTTAGTGTGCAGCAATATTCCAACCTAGATAGAACAAGTGACCTGAAGAGTGTCATCATGGGCTTGGCATCCCTCGTTTTGAAGGTTCTCATTATCCATCCTGTCATTTTTCTAGCAGATGCAATCGATACAATGTTATGGTCCTTGAAGGTGAGATCCTCCGACATGATCACTCCCAGGTCTTTGACGTTGGTGTTTCACTCTATTTTGTGGCCAGAATTTGTTTTGTACTCTGATGAAGATTTAATTTCCTCGTGTTTACCATATCTGAGTAATTGAAATTTCTCATCGTTGAACTTCATATTGTTTTCTGCAGCCCACTGAAAGATTTGGTTGATGTCCGCCTGGAGCCTTGCAGTGTCTGCAATGGAAGACACTGTCATGCAGATTCGGGTGTCATCTGCAAAGGAAGACATGGTGCTGTGGCTGACATCCTTGTCTATGTCAGATATGAGGATGAGGAACAAGATGGGAGCGAGTACTGTGCCTTGTGGAACAGAGCTTGTCACCGTGCCTGCCTCGGACTTTACTCTGTTGACTACTACTCTCTGTGTTCTGTTAGTGAGGAAATTATAGATCCATCGACCGACTTTTCCTGTTATTCCTTTAGCACGCATTTTGTGCGCTTTATGCCATGGTCACACTTGTCGAAGGCTTTTGCAAAGTCTGTATATATTACATCTGCATTCTTTTTGTCTTCTAGTGCATCTAGGACCTTGTCGTAGTGATCCAATAGTTGAGACAGACAGGAGCGACCTGTTCTAAACCCATGTTGCCCTGGGTTGTGTAACTGATGGGTTTCTAGATGGGTGGTGATCTTGCTTCTTAGGACTCTTTCAAAGATTTTTATGATATGGGATGTTAGTGCTATCGGTCTGTAGTTCTTTGCTGTTGCTTTACTGCCCCCTTTGTGGAGTGGGGCTATGTCTGTTGTTTTTAGTAACTGTGGGACGACCCCCGTGTCCATGCTCCCTCTCCATAGGATGGTAAAGGCTCGTGATAGGGGCTTCTTGCAGTTCTTGATGAACACGGAGTTCCATGAGTCAGGCCCTGGGGCAGAGTGCATGGGCATGTCATTTATCGCCTGTTCGAAGTCATTTGGCATCAGGATAACATCAGATAGGCTTGTGTTAACCAAATTCTGTGGCTCTCTCATAAAAAATTCATTTTGATCTTCGACTCTCAGTCTGGTTAGTGGCTTGCTAAAAACTGAGTCATATTGGGACTTGAGTAGCTCACTCATTTTCTTGCTGTCATCTGTGTAGGACCCATCTTGTTTAAGTAAGGGCCCAATACTGGACGTTGTTCTCGACTTTGATTTGGCATAGGAGAAGAAATACTTTGGGTTTCTTTCGATTTCATTTATGGCTTTTAGTTCTTCCCGCGATTCCTGACTCCTATAAGATTCCTTTAGCTTAAGTTCGATGTTTGCTATTTCTCTGACCAGTGTCTCCCAACGCATTTCAGATAGATTGACCTCTTTTAGCCGCTCTGTTATTCTTTTCCGTCGCCTGTAAGGAGAGCGCCTGTCTCTTTCTATTTTACATCTACTCCTCCTTTTTCTTAGAGGAATAAGTCTTGTGCATACATCGAGTGCCACCAAGTTAATCTGTTCTAGGCATAAGTTGGGGTCTGTGTTGCTTAGTATATCTTCCCAGCTTATATCGGTTAGGACTTGGTTTACTTGGTCCCACTTTATGTTTTTGTTATTGAAGTTGAATTTGGTGAATGCTCCCTCGTGACTAATCTCATTTTGTCGGTCTGGGGCTCCACGCATACATGTCTGAACCTCAATTATGTTGTGATCTGAGTATATTGTTTTTGATATGTTGACATTTCTTATCAGATCATCATTGTTAGTGAAGATGAGGTCTAGTGTATTCTCCATTCTAGTAGGCTCTATTATTTGCTGGTTTAAATTGAATTTTGTGCAGAGATTTAAAAGCTCGTGTGAGTGTGAGTTTTCATCAGAGCTGCCTCTTGGTGTTATTACTGCAACAATATTATTTGCTATATTCCTCCATTTTAGGTGCCTTAAGTTGAAATCCCCCAGGAGCAAGATGTTGGGTGCAGGAGCTGGAAGATTTTCCAGACAGTGGTCAATTTTTAACAGCTGTTCCTGGAATTGCTGGGATGTTGCATCCGGAGGCTTGTAGACTACCACAATGACTAGGTTTTGGTTCTCGACCTTTACTGCTAAAACTTCCACTACATCATTTGAGGCATTTAGCAGTTCTGTGCAAACAAGTGACTCTGCAATATACAGCCCCCCCCCCCCTTTTGCCTGTTCACTCTGTCACATCTGTATAGGTTGTAACCTGGGATCCATATTTCGTTGTCTAAGTGATCCTTTATGTGGGTCTCAGTGAAAGCCGCGAACATTGCCTTTGCCTCTGCAAGCAGTCCACGGATGAAAGGTATTTTGTTGTTTGTTGCTGGCTTTAGACCCTGTATATTTGCAAAGAAGAATGTCATCGGACTGGTGGTATTGTTGGTACTGGGGGGGGGGATTTTTTTTCCGGCATTAGTATCTACTGTGCAATCTATATCTACAGGACCTTAAATTCCAATATTAACCTTGACCTAAAACGCTTTCTTGATAGTTGTGACAGGATCCACAGGCATAACACGACACAAACATCTCTATGACATTCCCCGTGTTCGACTAAACCTTTACAAAAATTCAATGTATTTCAAAGGACCTAAAATCTGGAACATCCTACCTGAAAACTCGAGAACTGCAGACACATTCATCACTTTCAAAACTACAGTTAGAAAACATCTTATCTCCCTGATCCACCCCGACAACAAACTACATGATAACCACCTGGTGGTTCACAATTACACTCATTCACCCACTGACTATAAACCCAGAAATACTAATCTTAATCTTAAAATAATAAATCCTAACTAGTCATAAGTTTGCCTATGATACTCCAATATAGACACCTTGTATTGTGCCAAAACAAAAGCATTCACATTGCTAGACTCACAAATTATGTAGTCACTTAGCCTAAATACCATAATCTGTAAGGATTTAATGTTAAGAATTAATCTAAGTCTGCTCGAAATGCCTAGCCATGCTAGGTGTCCTAGTGGCCCCCTCTGTAATTAGTATTTTATAACATGTAAACCACACAATACCCAAAACCTGTAAACCCCACATTGTAACCCTTATAGAGAATAAACTTGAATTGAATTAAATTGAATTGAATTAATTAAGAATTACGAAACCCTGGCTGGAAAATATAAACTAGAAGCTCCAGTACAAACTGGAACATGATCTAGAGCTTAACAACACGCGATCTACTTTCCATTTACAAATTGGGTATTAGTTGTAAATAAGACTCAAATCCAAATACTGTAAAAAAAATTCGAAGTTGTAAATTACATCACTGTCAAATTATTTCACCATAAATGAATGATACATATTGATTAAGCATTTTTTTATAATAATATTAAATAGTTTCACTAATTCATTCACGTGAAGGACTTTTGATCCAAAGAACGAGAGCCTCTCTGCCCTATGGGTTTAGCCTCGCCCAGGAAGATTATCATGCTAAAAAAGTTAATTCGTAAAAAAAAATCTGGCTCGCACTATTTTGAATTCAAATTGTGTAAAAATGTAAGAGGCCAAAAGCGATCTTTCGAGCAGCGTCAAGGCACCCCTTTGAAGGGTGACAGGTGTCACGTCAACTGACTTAAATCACTTGATTGCAGAACCTCAGTACTTATTTGGAATAATTATACATCTAACGGCCATACTTACAGCGCCTGGGAATATAATTATCAATTTATAATTATAGAAGTTCTGTAATTTTATTGTAAATTGAATATATTCTCCTGCATCAGTGCTAAACCAGCGCGAAGAATGCTTGGTAAATATTTCATGTAGTGAAACCACTGCATTTCATGGGACCCAGGGAGGGTGTTAAGAACACTTTTCCAACATAAACACGCCAAGTGCATAGTTCAGCTAATTGTGAGGGGAAGGGGGTCCATCAAAGACCTGGCGTCACTATACTAGTGTGAGGTCCACCCCGTTCCCTGCTGTCTAATATACTCTAGTTACCTCATCCACACGCACTCTTATTCTAGCTCATAAATTACTGTTTTAAACCTGGTTTTATTAGTCCGAGATTAAAATGTACTTTTATTTTTCTAGGAAAAATGAAGCACACCTTATATTGGTCGACAAGGACTCACGCACGGAAATGTATTTATTATTATTATTACCACTACATTAAAACCAAGTACTAATTATTAGTAAATGATGAATTAGTATTTAAGTATCTGCGGTTGATTATCCAATAAAAAAATATATGATAACGCGCAAAAATATATACACCAATACGTGTATACCTCCGTGTATATTTTAGGGATTAAAGTATTCTTGTCTTAGTGAACAAGTTGCACTCAGCTTTGATGACCTCCATGTAGTCGAAAGGCTTAATCATAATGAACCAACCATCATGGTGGACGTGTCCTATTTGCTTAATATTAATCATGTGCGGTAAAGTACCTTTACTCACTACCTGTGCATGGTAACGTGCTACACTAAAATATCCGTGTATAGTAGAATAACTGCTTGAAAATATTACCTGATGGCTTGATCTAGCATACCCCCATAGAGGTATCTGGTAACGTGACTGAATGGATCACTGCATAGACCACACCTAAAGTGGTGACCTCGTCCCCAGAATTGATTTTCACTAGTGTTTGGCCTTACCTCTCATATCTGTACGTGTGAACCTAACCTAGCTAAAGATATTACCCAAGCGACGCCTGCTAGTATTTCGAAAAGCATGGGTAGGGATCACACAGCACCTGGGGAGAAAGGTAATCAGAATTGATTCGAGAAGTGAGAAAGATGGACTAGCTGCAATTCTTTTGATCAAGAACCCTCTCCACTATATTTTCTACTCTTTGAGTGGAAAATTTAGTGAAAATGGGGTGTAATAGGGTGCGGGAAGGATTTAACTCACCCTGCAAAAGATGTCATTAGGACCACAAGCCACCAAGTAGTCGGCACTGACGTTCATACCGTTGTGTCGGCCGAGGCACGGGTGGTTCCACTGGTAGACCGCCTTTCGGAAGTCCAGCTTGCAGGAGTAGCATGTCAAGTTGCCTGGAGGGACGTTCAGGTGGTCCACATTCAGCATTGTGTTCACTCCTTTATCTGTACGTTCATCCGGAGGCAACCTCGCTTCGGGCGAGTTCAACCCGGGACCTTCCAGCTCAAAATCATCGAACCCAGGACCATCAAAATCATGGTTATCGAACCCAGGTTTTCGAACTCCAGGGCTATCGAAATTGCGATTATCGAACCCGGGATTTCGAAATCCAGGGCTATCGAAATCACGTCTGTCGAACACATCCCTTTCGAACCCACGGGAAAAGCCATTACCGTGTCTCCGGGGGTCCTGGAAGTCTCCATCGTCCATGTCCTCATGTTGGAGTCCCAAGCTGTTTTGACCCCGCGACTGGCCCTGGACTGCCGAGTAAAAAGTAGAGAAAATTATTATTATTATGGAATTGGTCTAACTGTCAGTTAGCAAGAACTCATTTAAAAGTAAGTCCCTTCTAAAATTTTCTCTTATACGTTTAAAGATATAGTTTTTTCATTTATGTTAATGTAAAAATTAATAATTTTGTACCAAAAGAAGCTTAGAAAACTTAACTAACATTATTATAACAAGCGCAATTTAATTTAGCCTAATCCAACTAAATTTATTTTGGATAGGTTTACAATAATTTAAAAAACAAACACAATGAAATATATATTTTTCGTTAGGCTCAGAATGATTTTTGCGAAATTATTGCATACACAAATTTTCGCTTGCCTTATTCAGCAAGAAGAGCGTTGATATTTAAGCCAAAATTGCAAGTTTTACATATTCGGTACATTATATATATATATATATATATATATATATATATATATATATATATATATATATATATATATATATATATATATATATATATTATATATATATATATTGTCGTGCCGAATAGGCAGAACTTGCGATCTTGGCTTAAATAGCAACGCTCATCTTGCAATATAGGACAAGCGAAAATTTGTGTATGCAATAATTTCGCCAAAATCATTCTGAACCTAACGAAAAAAAATATATTTCACTGTGTTTGTTTAGTATTAAATTATTGTAAACAAATCTAAAATATATTTAGTTGGGTTAGGCTAAAATAAATTGCGCTTGTTATAATAAGGTTAGGTAAGTTTTCCAAGTTCCTTTTGGTGCAAAATTATAAATTTTTACATCAAAATTAATGAAAAAATATATCTTTAAACGTATAAGAGAAAATTTTAGAAAAGACTTAATTTTAAATGAGTTCTTGCTAATTGACCAGTTTTACATATTCGGCACGACATATATATATATATATATATATATATATATATATATATATATATATATATATATATATATATATATATATATATATATATATATATATATATATATATATATATATGCAATAAGATCACAGTAAACAGGTGATTTTAAAATATGCAAAACAACCACTGTGAAAGAGTAGTTCCAGACTATGGAACAGAACTTCTCCAGGCTGAGGGACTGACAACCTCAAATCTACGACTTTAAGGGTGATGGACTGATTACATCGTCTTCACATCTCTACTGTTCCTGCATACTTTCTGTATTCGACTGAAGAAGCCTACTGTGTAGGTGAAACGTTTCGGAATAAAGATATTATATATATATATATATATATATATATATATATATATATATATATATATATATATATATATATATATATATAATATTATATATTAATATATATATATATATATTATATTATATATAATCTTAGGTAATTCAGTGTTGAAATAACCCATTCTAAAACAGTTTTAAAAGCATAATTAGGCTAATCATGCTTTAGGAGCCTAAAATAAATATAAAATGATTGGAAGCCACTGGATTATAACCATTTCAGAAGCTTCACTAGATTATAAGCAGACTAAGTAACTTCGATTACAAGAGGAATCAGAAGAAATATTTTTATCGATTAGAAGAGCAATCAGAAGAAATATAACGTTCTCTTTATTCTTTCATGCTTGCCTCGCCACTTAATGCAACGATAATAAGCCAGAACTTCCCTCAAGATCTCATTTACTCCGCTAAAAATAAGTTCCCACATGAAAAAATCTATGAACAACACTTTAATGTTATTAAATTTGTTCGTTTACAGTGATGAGTGTATGGCAACAGAATTTGTACAGTTATATAATAAGTGTTGAAAGTTTAAGTAATTAGTTATATGTCTCTTCACCCATTCAAGACAAACATTGATAAAATATATACCAATCCATTGCAACTTTGTTGGACCGTTTTTAATGTAATTATAATAGCTAACGCCTGCCTCTAATATAGACAAATAATGGTCCTAATGACTGTCACTACTAAAGTTGTAAACGAGAAGAATTAATTGTAATTAGTACATGTTAAAAGTCTAAGGTAACAGTTTGCCAAGTTTGGAATTACTAAAGTAAACCATTTCACGAGACATCAGAAAAAAATACTAGTGGAAAATTAAAATCACAAAATACGGGCTATATGCAAAAGTCTGTCTTGACCCATATTTTCCAGCGAGTGCCTACTTCATCACCTATTATTATTATTATTATTATTATTATTATTATTATTATTATTATTATTATTATTATTATTATTATTATTATTATTATATTTGTGTAGAATTGGGCGTAGCTGTTCATTCTCACAGCATCGTACAGAAAAAGGTATTCTCGGAAAGCGAAATACGTATTGGTTTCTAAAAAAAAACGCTGACAGATTTTAATTGGAATATTCTTTTTTTTTTTTTTTTAACAAAAATAGTTACTGTAAGTTTGAATTCACTGCAGAAGTATCCGCAAGATATTCCTTCAAGTAGGTGTCTGGATGCCGCCGATGTGCTCTTGATCCAAGGACTTGGGCTACCCCTTCCCATCCTTGGACTGAACTAATTACTTCCCATTTCCAATGCGTTCTTTGATCCCCCCTTTTGGTCATGAATATAATAATAACAGATATCGTGCGCTATCAAATTATGGTGCGGTAATCCCCAGGATATCGTCTTGTAATAAGGCGACCAGGAAAAAACTCATGAAGTATCCCTATCCGTGGATTCATCAATGATAATTTTTATAATTATATAGTGAGATAATTATAGGTGAATTTGTTTGCCAAAATCATGATTACTTACTTTTTAAGGTCAAAAGTTATAACTTTTGTGTTATCCCTATTACCGGGTCAAATTTGTTGACAGATGTCAGCGACTAGAAAAGTGTTACCATATTAATAATATTAAGATGACTGAGAAACAGTTGAAGTAAATCAGAGACATAAACACCTCAGTTGATACTATGATTACTACTACTATATTACCACTACTACTGGAGGTAATGGAAGGCATTCAGGTTCGATTCAAGGAACAAGTGGACGGGTCTGACTCTTTTGATCACGATCCCCTCAACGGCATCAAGGTATCTTCCTTGAGAGGCCCTCTACGAACACCCATTCCTTCGAGTACCTTCACCACGGGGAATTATCTCGCTCCCACAAGAGTTTCCTTGGGTAACATATTTCTTTCAGGTAAAAAAAAGCTCAGTTGTCACCCACGGGTGGCAGCGTCGCCCTATAATGAGGTACGTTTAGCTGTTATCAGGCTGAAGACTGCAACACTACTCGGAAAATAGCTCACCTTAGGGACAAGTGATCATAACATTCCTGCAGGCGAGTCACTCCCGCACTGCTACACTCCCCTTGCATTCCCCAGGGTGTTGTAATTCTCCCAGCCCTAAATTCAGTGGAAATACTCACCCATAATGGCAGAGAGTATGTATTAACCCCTGGCGAGCGTACTTGGGTGGAGAAGGTGTCGTGACTGCCTGTAATGAGTCTTACAAAAGGAACAGGTTTACCACAACCATACTCTTCCAAGGCAAAATTATTTTGTATAGGTTGCAGCGCTGTATAGCCCTTGTGGCTTAGCGCTTCTTTTTGATTATAATAATAATTTGTATAGGTTGCAGTGACTTTGAGCCCACGATTATTATTACAATTATTTAACCCTGTAGGGGTCATGCAGCGCCTGGGGGAATGCTAGGTTTTTAGGTTCGATCCAGCTAAGGGTAAGGAAAGTTCAAATACTTGAATCAAGAGCACCTCGATGGCATCAAGGAACTTCCCTTGAAGGGGAATGTGAGCCCTTAAGTAGTGGAAGATATATATAACAAAATATCTTTTTTTCAGTAAAGCCTCCTGTTTGTGATACATCTTAGTAATAAAAGGCCTTTTTCAACAATGTTTTACAATATGTTTATTGTTCTGAAAGTTGAGTTATTCCCATTTTTTAGCAAGTCTTGACCAGTGTAAGTATGTGTAATAAACAATGAATTTCTGGGTCAATGTGAGCATCCTAGCATTATCTACATAATTATACTGACCAACTTAAATTTAGCAAAAGAAGTCAGATATGGAGGTAGAAAACCAACGAAGAAAATGGCTAGGATATTCATCCATCACCGGCTAGTTGAGTGTGCAGGCGTGGAACATGACCAGCCAGGCAGTGTGGGCGTGGAACATGACCAGCCAGGCAGTGTGGGCGTGGAACATGACCAGCCAGGCAGTGTGGGCGTGGAACATGACCAGCCAGGCAGTGTGGGCGTGGAACATGACCAGCCAGGCAGTGTGGGCGTGGAACATGACCAGCCAGGCAGTGTGGGCGTGGAACATGACCAGCCAGGCAGTGTGGGCGTGGAACATGACCAGCCAGGCAGTGTGGGCGTGGAACATGACCAGCCAGGCAGTGTGGGCGTGGAACATGACCAGCCAGGCAGTGTGGGCGTGGAACATGACCAGCCAGGCAGTGTGGGCGTGGAACATGACCAGCCAGGCAGTGTGGGCGTGGAACATGACCAGCCAGGCAGTGTGGGCGTGGAATATGACCAGCCAGGCAGTGTGTGCGTGGAACATGACCAGCCAGGCAGTGTGGGCGTGGAACATGACCAGCCAGGCAGTGTGGGCGTGGAACATGACCAGCCAGGCAGTGTGGGCGTGGAACATGACTAGCCAGGCAGTGTGGGCGTGGAACATGACCAGCCAGGTAGTGTGGGCGTGGAACATGACCAACCAGGCAGTGTGTGCGTGGAACATGACCAGCCAGGCAGTGTGTGCGTGGAACATGACCAGCCAGGCAGTGTGGGCGTGGAACATGACTAGCCAGGCAGTGTGGGCGTGGAACATGACCAGCCAGGCAGTGTGGGGGTGGAAAATGACCAGACAGGCAGTGTGGGCGTGGGAAATGACCAGACAGGCAGTGTGGGCGTGGAAAATGACCAGACAGGCAGTGTGGGCGTGGAACATGACCAGCCAGGCTTTGTGAGCGTGGAAAATGACCAGACAGGCAGTGTGGGCATGGAAAATGACCAGACAGGCAGTGTGGGCG